TGCTGCCTTCCCTCAAACATTCTATACGTCCATGAGAGTTTATGTCAGCAACCACATTCAGTCTACAGATACAGACAGTTGGCATTTGGCTCAATGAAATGCCTTTGCTGCGTTCTGGCAGGTGAAAATTTCCTGCTGCGTAAGGTCACCTGTGCACACACAGTTGGAAATGGTGTCTGTGGTGGAATGGAACAGCACAGGTCTGCTGCTACCCAAAGCATGCCTTCATTGGGAGAATGATTTGCTAATAGGAATCATTAGGAAAACTGCTGCCTGGGGTGGATTAGTGACATCGCCAGTATACTTAAAATGATGTGTTTATCACTTTGCTTACCTGACTTTCCACATGAGGTGACATGAGAATATTTTGTGACATCTATTAGGTTTTTTCCATGGATTTCAACTGATTTGGTTCTAGGATATAAACAGAGTCCATATAACCTAGAGGAATATCAAAGCCCGCCTGGATGCGTTCCTGTGTGATCTGATCTAGGTGTTCCTGCTCCGGCAGGGGGATTGGACTAGATGATCTTTCGAGGTCCCTTCCGATCTCTAACATTCTGTGATTCTGTGAATGTAGTAGTGAGCTGGGCCATGCCACTGAGGGATAGATGGAGCCACCTCTTCCAGTTCAGTTTATCAGAGCACAGTGGAATGCTGACACTATCTCTAGATAAAAGGAATAAAATGCTTTCATACCCTCTTCCAGTGGGGCTATACCTGTGTTGTGGTTTAAGGTCAGACAGCAGCTAAGCACCACATGCAGCCTCTTGCTCTTTCCTCCCCTCTGATGGTATGGGGAGGAGAATCAGGAGAACGAAAGGTAACAACCTCATGGGCTGAGGCAAGGACAGGGAGGGTTCACTCACCACTTATGATCACCAGTAAGAAACATACTTGACTTGGGAAAACACAAAACCAGTTTAATTTGTTAACAATAAAAACCAGACCGCGATAATGGGAAAGAGAACTACATTTTAAAAAGGCACCTCTCACCCACCCCTCCCTTCTTCCCAGGCCCAAAAGCTTTGTTCCCAATTTCTCTACCTTCTGCCCCAGGTGACATAGCGGGGGAGGGAATGCGGGTTGTGGTCAGTCCATCACTTGTCTCTGCTGCTCCTTCCTCCTTGGGGGAGGACTCCACACTCTTCCCCTGCTCCAATGTGGGGTCCCTCTCACAGGAGAGTCCTTCACAAACTAATCCAACATGAGTCCTTCCCACAGGCCGCAGTTCTCCTCTGACTGCTCCAATGTGGGTCCCTTCCGCAGAGTCACAGCCTCCTTTGGGCACAGACACCTCTTCCAGCGTGGGCTCCTCCACAGGCTACATACAGGGTGGTATCTGCTCCACCATTAAATCTCAATAAGCTGCAGGCGAGCTCTGCTCACAGGGGCTCACAGGGACAAAGGTGTGTCACCAAGGTCTTCACTGTGGGCTGCTCTGGCACCTCCTCCCTCTCCTTTCTCTTCACTGACCTTCGTGTCTGCATAGCTGTCTCTCTCACATCCCGCTTCTCTCTCCGCTGCAGGTTCTCTCACTGGCTTCAGAGAAACTCCCGGCTCTCGGGCAGGGGCTCCACTGGGTCAGCTGGGCCCAGGCTCTGTGGTGGAGGCTGGGCTGCAGCCGGACAAACCGGCCCCGGCCGGGGGTGGACAGACCGGCCCAGCCTGGGGCCGTGCCACTGCTCCACGCGCTGTGCCCCCTCTTAGATATGTTATTCACAGAGGCGCTGACTGGCTCACCCTTGGCCTGGGGTGGGTCTGGCTTGGAGCTGGGGACACTTCCAGCAGCTTCTCACAGTGGCCATCACTGCAGTCCCCTCCCCTGCTACCAAAAAACCCGCCACACAAACCCACAACAACCTGCATTGTATTTGGACAGGCATTTGGCTTTGGGACTCCGTTGCAGAACTCAGACTAGAAAATTTCACCTGAGGTTTCTAAATGTCTTCCAGTCTAGCTCTCTGTGTTTTCTGTTTCTTATGGTGAGGTTGTCTGAACCTAAATAGAGTTGTTGTCTCACAAGCAGAGTTCGTTGCCGGGTGTGCAATAAGCTGATACACACGCGGAGCCAAGATAGTTGTTTATTGTGTGTCTGCGCAGAGATGGGTGCTAGGTGGTAAGTCCACAAAGCTAGCACACCCATTGGCAGCCACATGGTGTATTTATACAGTTCAAAATATTAATGCCACATCCTTCTAACTATAATTCGTTGGTTTTTATCTCTTCTTAATGCAGTTGGTTAGTTCTTTTCTCGCTTTGATTTAAAAACACAGTTAAATTTACTGTGCATGCTCAGTAAGTGAGGGTTTTAATTCAGGAGGGTTGTCCAGACACTTGGAGGTGTGATTTTTAGTATTATAATTATATTAAAATGAGGATAGGTCACTTTCGGACAGTGCTAATCACTAACTTGGCTGACTACCCAAACACGCTGATTATTTTCCAGGATGTTCCCATCTTCAAGGGTAAATCTAACAAACCTTAGGTGATTAAAAAGTTTTTCTCAACAGTCCCAAGGACAATCTTCCTAATTTACACAGTCCATATTTGTTACATTAGCTTCTAACTTAACTTGCAACAGAATAAAGGAAATATGAGAGCAACTGAGGGTATAAGCTGAAAGTAATAGACTTCTTCACCCAGAAATGCCATGGTAGGTAGGAAAAATGATGAGGAGGAGGGCACAGAAGGGGAATGTGTGTGTTTGTTCACAGTGGATGGGTTCTGCTACTGCACAGAAGTCTTGGGCTCTGCAGATGTACTCAGGCTTCATAAGATTCCTTGTATAAAGCATATTAGGTTGAAAAGCAACAGGCAATTGAGGCAGAAATGAAAAGTGGGGAGAGTTGGTGAATTGCATCCATAGTACTACTACAGTTGCTGCAGTACTACAAGGGACAGTTCCCACTTTAAATTAGCCCTTTTAAATATCAGGGCCTTGAGTCACACCTGCTGGTGAATGGCTGAAAACAGCATTGTGAGCACCTGCAGGGCTGCTGCAACCATGGAGGAGGAGCTGGAAGAGAGCTGCTGCTCTTCCCTGGGGAGTTAGGAAAGGAAAGCAGCTCTGATTTGCACTCAGTTCATTCCCCAGCTGGGAATGAGGTAGGGCTATCTGGTTACTGGTGCCCCAGAGCTGCTTTCCCTAGCAGCCCGAGGGATAATAGACTTGCAAATTGCTGCTGCTCTTTTGAACCCTCTCCCCTTGCTTGCCCCTATTTTCTTGCTTCCCTATACATGCTACAGCTCCTTTG